AACTTGGATTTGGTACACTGTGACCACAGTTGGTCTGCAAAAAGAAGTGAGGAGTTCATGACTAGTTTTTCATAGATTAATCTATAATTCTGCATTCTTTTTTCAATTGGACTGCATGGAAACTGTTCGTACCTAGGGCAGTTTTTGTTCTTTGCACTTGCCTTTGGCTGGACATCAATCTGGCTTTTGTATCTTAGGGTAAGTGAGCAGAGCTTCTTATTTCATGGAAATGGCTACTGTGGCCAACTGCTGGGATCTGAGTGACAGACTACCACACTCAGGATCATGTCTGGTGCTGCACACGCCCGAGCACCAGGAGCTCCCAGCTGAGCCAAATGCCACAGCCCACCCCTTACCAGCCTGGGGTGGGGTTGTAGCAGCACAGCCCGTTACTATTGAGGAAGTTACCAGGGAAAGGGAAAAGGAGAGGGAGAAGATCAGCTCAGAGCCGGGTCATGAACTCATCCCTGGGAGGGCCTGCACTTCAGACACAAGCCTCTTTAGAACTAAACTTCAGGGGTTAAAAACTTAACTCTTGATTTTGCAAGTGAGAAATCAAATACAGATTTTCCTGAAGTTGCTGCTAGCATATGAGCTAGAACAAACACCTCATTCTGTGGATTTTCATCCAGGGCATCCTCAACATGCGATCCTGCTGGTCAGTACTCAGCACCTGACGGTCACGGAGCACGTGACGTGCATCTCGTCTGAGTCCCTGAACCCATGAGCAAGCTAATGAAAGTTAGACACCAATAACCAGGCAGGACACTGACTCATTTTCTGAGATGTGTGGAAGGTGCTCTGGGGGAAAAAGGTATTAATAAAGAAAGTCTCGGGCCGGCGCCGTGGCTCACTAGGCTAATCCTCCGCCTAGCGGCGCCGGCACACCGGGTTCTAGTCCCGGTCGGGGCGCCGGATTCTGTCCCGGTTGCCCCTCTTCCAGGCTAGCTCTCTGCTGTGGCCAGGGAGTGCAGTGGAGGATGGCCCAGGTGCTTGGGCCCTGCACCCCATGGGAGACCAGGAAAAGCACCTGGCTCCTGGCTCCTGCCATCGGATCAGCGCGGTACGCCGGCTGCAGCGCGCTGGCCGCGGCGGCCATTGGAGGGTGAACCAACGGCAAAGGAAGACCTTTCTCTCTGTCTCTCTCTCTCACTGTCCACTCTGCCTGTCAAAATAAATAAATAAATAAATAAATAAATAAATAAAATAAAATAAAGAAAGTCTCCAGGATTCAGCTGTTGTTTTTTGCTAAATAACAACATATTATTTTTGGCAAGCAAACAATGAAGCTCCTACTTCAGCAGAAGGAATACAGTCGGGTACTAGGCAGGTCCAATTTATATACACACAAGTAAACAAGTGGTCAACTATTTTTAAAAGTACCCATTCTGACCAACGCTTAGCCAAATTCTGATCTTCTCAGAGGGCAGAAGTAGGTTATTTCTGTTTTGCCACCTACTGAATCCTGCTCCAACACTGCATTCTGGAACAAAATTATATGGGAAACCTGTTCTCCTCTAGGCTGACAGATAAGTTCTGTGGGAGCTGAGTGGCAGAGCACATGGCCTCTGCAGCCCCTTCGATCAGAGGGCCATCAGGGGAGTCTGGGGTCTATTGTTTTAAGTGCAGGCTTTTCCTAATCCTGGTATACCCTCTCTTTGTTTCACCCAGTGTGGTTACTTTAAAAAATTATTTATTTGAGGGGGCCAGCGCCTTGGCACAGTAGGTTAATCCTCTGCTTGCGGCACCAGTATACCATATGGGCGCCAGTTCTAGTCCCAGCTGCTCCTTTTCCAATCCACCTCTCTGCTGGGGAAAGCAGTAGAGGGTGGCCCAAGTGCTTGGGCCCCTGCACCCGTGTGGGAGACTGGGAAGAAGCTCCTGGCTGCTGGCTTCGGATCAGCGCAGCTCTGGCCGTTGTGGCCATTTGGGGAGTGAACCAACAGACGGAAGACATTTCTCTATGCTTCTCCCTCTCACTGTCTGTAACTCTACCTCTCAAATGAATAAATAAAATCATTAAAAAACAACTATTTATTTGAGGGACAGAGACAGAGAGCGAGAGCTCCCATCTTCTAGTTCATTGCCCAAATGCCTGTAACAGCCAAGGCTGGGCAAAGGCTGAAGCCAGGAGCTGGGAAATCAATAGCAGCCCCAGTGTGGGAGGCTGGAATCTAATCACTGAAGCCATTACCTGCTGCCTCCCAGGGTCTGTGTTAGCAGGGGGCTGGAGTCAGGAGCTGGAAACTGGGATGCAGGTCTCCTAACAGCTCTTAACCACTAGGCCAAACATCTGCCCTCAGTTTGTTTACTTTTCATGTAACAATGCTAACACAGAGAAGGTTACAGGGAATAACATCAGACATCATGGTCCACCATCAGCTCTAGCAAAATCCAACATTTTGGCCATATCTGCCTGCAGACTTTTTAAATAAAATCAAACACTGCAGATACTATTAACAGCTCCTGGACACTCACCCATGATCTCACTCGTCCTCTCCCCTGCTGCTCTCCTGGGATGACTGCTGCCTGACTCTGGTAGGTGTCATCTCTAAGCACCCTGTTAGATTATAACTGCATGTAGGCTGGCGCCATGGCTCAATAGGCTAATCCTCCACCTGTGGTGCCAGCACCCCGGGTTCTAGTCCCGGTTGGGGTGCTGGATTCTGTCCCGGTTGCTTCTCTTTCAGTCCAGCTCTCTGATGTGGCCTGGGAGGGCAGTGGAGGATGGCCCAGGTCCTTGGGCCCTAACCCTCATGGGAGACCAGGAGGAAGCACCTGGCTCCTGGCTTCAGATCAGCGCAGCGCGCCAGCTGCAACGCGCTAGCCATAGCGGCCACTTGGGGGGTGAACCAATGGAAAAAGGAAGACCTTTCTCTCTGTCTCTCTCTCACTGTCCACTCTGCCTGACAAAAAAATAATAATAATAATCTCCATGTGGGCAAATCCATACTAAGTATTGTTTTTCAAGCTTTCAGATCTTAAATAAATGGTATCTCCTAAACATATGTTTATTCCACTCAATAACATGTTTCTGAGATTTAGCTGCATCTCAGAAGTTAACTTCATTGTCCTATATCATTCTTCAAAATTGCCATAGACAATCGTAGGTTATTTCTCTACCACACACATTTTATGATTAGCTTGTCAAGATCCAAGAGAAGTCCTGTTGATATTTCAAAATGGAATTTATAAACTGTCATGTCTTCCATTTATAAGCTTATTAACTCATCACTGAACAAATATTATAAAGACTAAAAAATTCTGGAACTCTCTTAACCCTTAATTCTACTTTAGATATCAATCATAAGATACTAATCCTAAATATGTTAAAAGCTAGCTGGTTGTATTAAATGAGCATTATAAAATTATTTACAGTAGGAAAATGGGAATGATCTAAATATTAATGACACAGGACTAGTTAGGTAAGTTAGAATAAATATACCCAATGAAAAACTCTGATTAAAGAAAAAATATTAGAAAGAAAAAAAAGCATGCTATGAGGATATTTCTTCCATCAAAGCAAAATATATTGTGAAAGATAATATTTCCAAGCCAGTTACAAAGTAAGCACCTGGGTGTATCTTCAGAGATTAATTTATGATTCAAACAGAGAGTGCTTGAAAAAAGTAAAACACTCAGGGTCAGCGCTGTAGTTTAGTGGGCTGTCACCTCCTAGGGCCTGGCATCCAATATGGATGCCAGTTTGAGTCTTGGCTGTTCCTCTTCCAATCCAGCTCTCTGCTATTGTCTTGGAAAGCAGTGGAATATGGCCCAAGTGCTTGGGAACCTGCACTAGTGTGGGAGACCCAAAAGAAGCTCCTGGCTCCTGGCTTCAGATCAGCCCAGCTCCAGCCATTGTGGCCATTTGGGGAGTGAACAGGCATATGAAAGACATTTCTGTCTCTCCCCTTCTCTGTAACTCTGCCTGTCAAATACATAAATAAAATCTTAAAAAAGCAAACATTCAGACAGTTTAGGGTCTAGCTCAATTCTTGATTATTTAAGTAATTTCTGGGAAATAGAATCACCTGTTTTCTAGTGGAAAAAAAGTATTTAGATATGGATTGGTTAGCAAACTTTTATAGGTAAAAAGGCATTCATTAAAATAACTATGTGCTGGCACTGTGGCATAGCTGTTAAAGCTGCCTTCTGCAATACCAGCGTCCCACATGGGCTCTGGTTTGTCTCAGCTGCTCCACTTCCAATCCAGCTCCCTGCTATTGAGCCTGGGAAAGCAGCTGATGATGTCCCAAGTCAGCTTCTTCTTCTTTGTCTCTGTCTCTCTCTCTCTGTAACTCTGCCTTTCAAATAAATATTTTTTTAAAAAACTAACAGTTCATTCAAATTATTCTATCAGAAAGACTGCATATTTAATTTTCTCTGAAGTACAAAGGAGAGGAAAAAGCAGGAAATTTTCCATTTAAAAGTAGAAAAAAACTCCTATTCATTCACAATGGTGTACCAACAAGAAGAGGTCCTCGGGCTGGAGTTGTGGCACAGTGAGCTAAGTGACGGCCTGTGATGCCAGCATCCCATGTGGGCGCCAGTTCAAGTCCTGGCTGCTCCACTGCTGATCCAGCTCCTTGCTAATAATGTACCTAGGAAAGCAGCAGAAGATGACTCAAGTACCTGAGCCCCTGCCACCCACATGGGAGACCCAGACAGAGTTCCAGGATTCTGTCTTTGGCCTGACCCAGCCCTGATCTTTGCATCATTTGGGAAGTGAACCAGCAGGTGGAATATTTCTTCTGTCTCTCCCTCTCTCTGTAACTATGGCTTTCAAATAAATAAATAAATATACTTTTTTTTTAAATGAATGTCTTTATTGGGTGACCTGGAAACTTACCCACCCATCTGTCATTGGATGGCTTGTTTCTATAAGCTTTAGATAAATAAATCTTGTTTGATTTACCAAAATGCAGAAAAAGAAAAAAAGAAAGAGACAAAATTATTATTTCCATGGTTTGTACACATTATTTCCACGGTTTGCACTTTACCTTAAAGACATGAAAGGCTTCAAACTGGATGTTGGGACTTTTGTCTCGGAGAAGGTTCATCATCAGCTTCAGGTTCTCTGGCTTGCTGATGTACTTGGTCATAATGGCAAAGTTGTGGCGGTCCAGGATGAGCTCACCCAGCAACTGCACAGAAACACAAAATTAAGGGTATCACCTGTCTAGCAGTCGCCTTACCCAAATCATCTATCACTTTTTCTCCTTGAAAAACAAAATACACATGTAAAAACAGCTTCATAAAAAAACTGGAGAGTGAGGCCGGCGCTGCGGCTCATTAGGCTAATCCTCCGCCTTGCGGCACCAGCACACCGGGTTCTAGTCCCGGTCGGGGCGCTGGATTCTGTCCCGGTTGCCCCTCTTCCAGGCCAGCTCTCTGCTGTGGCCAGGGAGTGCAGTGGAGGATGGCCCAAGTCCTTGGGCCCTGCACCCCATGGGAGACCAGGATAAGTACCTGGCTCCTGCCATCGGATCAGCACCGTGCGCCGGCTGCAGCGCGCCGGCCATGGCGGCCATTGGAGGGTGAACCAACAGCAAAGGAAGACCTTTCTGTCTCTTTCTCTCTCTCACTGTCCACTCTGTCTGTCAAAAAAATAAAAATTAAAAAAAAAACCTGGAGAGTGAAGTGCATGTTAAAGAACAAGCACAGGACTGGGGCTGGCGCTGTGGCCTAGTGGGTAAAGCTGGCATCTACAGTGCTGGCATCCCATATTGGTGCCAGTTAGAGTCCTGGCTGCTCCACTTCCAATCCAGCTCTCTACTATGGCCTGAGAAAGCAGTAGAAGATGCCCCAAGTCCTTGAGCCTCTGCACCCATGTGGGAGACCCGCTGTGGCATTTGGGGAGTGAACCAGTGGATGGAAGAACTCTGTCTCTCCTCTCTCTGTCTCTGTCTCTATCTCTGTAACTCTGCCTTTCAAATAAATAAATAAATCTAATTAAAAACAAGCATAAAAGCAGGATTCATTTTAAGCTTTTCACAGTTTGCTAATGTCAGTGCTTACTGCATTTTTTAAGGCTGGTCACTGCTGAAGTTCCCCAAGAAATGGCCAAAAATTATTCATTATTTTCATCACTGACTTTATTTTCATTATATTTGAAAGGAAGAGAGAGATATCTTTCCTATACTGGTTTATTCCCCCAAATGCCCATGATAGCCAAGGCCAGGCCAAAGCTTCCTTCTCTTGTTCCTCACATGAAATTAATGTTCAAGATCTGACCAGTTTTTGTTTCTAAATGTCCATTTTGAAAAATCCATAATTTTAAAAATTTCTTTGAGTGTCACAGAGAAACAGAGAGAGAGGTTCCTATGCCCTCAACAGCCAGGCTGGTCTAGGGCTAAAACCTCTGTGCCCCTTCCAGCCTAACTGTGTGATGTGTGTGATGTGTGTGGGGGCTGCTGGGAAAGTCAGATTCCTACAATCCAGAATCCTTTCTCCAAAAGGCAGAAAGAAACAAAGAGGTTTTGTTATCCAGTAAGCATATTCAGAACACAATAATGTGGGTAAAGGCAAAAAAGAATTGTGAAGGCGTAAAATTCCACCTTATTTATACAGCCAGGAGGCTACAATCCATCACACACTGGGCTCAAGGGTGAGGGTCGGTCGGCGCCACGGCTCAATAGGCTAATCCTCCACCTAGCAGCACTGGCACACCGGGTTCTAGTCCCGGTTGGGGCACCGGATTCTGTCCCGGTTGCCCCCTTCCAGGCCAGCTCTCTGCTGTGGCCAGGGAGTGCAGTGGAGGATGGCCCAAGTGCTTGGGCCCTGCACCCCGTGGGAGACCAGGATAAGCACCTGGCTCCTGCCATCAGATCAGTGCGGTGCGCCGGCCGCAGCGCGCCAGCCATGGCGGCCATTGGAGGGTGAACCAACGGCAAAAAGGAAGACCTTTCTCTCTGTCTCTCTCACTATCCACTCTGCCTGTCAAAAATAAAATAAAATAAAAAGGGTGAGGGTCACCTGGCCCCTGAAGGGGATTCAGAGCACCTGGAGCACCCTAGGTGCTCCTTCAGAGGGCACCCTCAGTTCACCTGGCATTTGAAGCAGCTATTTGTTACAGCAAATTGCCTATACCTGAACTCAACAGTCCCTGCTATCTGATAAGCCAAAGGGAACAGCTTGGAGAAAAGCACCTGGGCTAAACTCCAGGGCGACAGCAGAGAGCAGTGATACCTTCTATATAGGACATATCAAAGGGATGGCTCGCAGCCCACAAGACAAAACCCCTCCTATAAAGAATCACCTCTGCTGTTAAATTGCGAAGAGGCTTGCTTAGCTAGCTTCTGAAGAATCTATCTATGTATCTATTTATTGTCAACTATCATATCTATCATATATACATATATATCATATATAGACACATCCAAGTATTTAGGAAAAGGAGTAATTTCATGTTTAAAAATTTACCCTTGAGGCAGGCATTAGCCTAGCAGTCAAGAAACCCGCATCCCATATTGGAGTTCTTGGGTTGAATTCCTAATTCCAGCTTCTTGCTAATGCAGACCCTGGGAGGCAGCTGTGATGGCTCAAGTAATGGTGACACTCACCTACACAGGAGACTTGCATTGAGTTCTGGGCTCCAGGCTTTGGCTTTTAGTCTGGGCCTAGCTCTGGCTGTTATGGGCATTTGAGGAGTGAACCAGTAGATGAAACATCTCTTTCTCTTTTTCTGTCTCTCTTAGCTCTCAAATAAATAAACTTAAAATATTTAAAAATTTTCTCTTAAAACTCCCTCTTTCAGTAAGTGTTTGTCGAAGTTAATTTATGAGTTAGGTTCCTATTAAGTCACTTCAATTTTTATTACATAGGGTACCCTATATAAAAATTCCATCCAATCTATTCACTGCTAATTCAATTGCACAACTTTTCTGAGATAATTTATTGTGTTAAATCACTTGAGTAACAACACTGAATCTTTAGCCATTAAATGTAAATCTATTTTAAGCTAATACTGATAGTGACAAAATCCTACATTCCACTAATAATACAAAGCCTATAAAGCAAAACCATATTAAGTAAATTGAGAAAATCACATTTTGCTTATTGAATTTCATATTTTAATGCTTCAAAGTATACAGTAAAACCATTCAGCAAGTAGAAGTCTTTTTAAAATAGTGATTTAATGAAATCGACCAGAGCCAAAAACACTGCCCAAATTCCACCAACCTTCTTTTGAATTATAATCTTTCTTGCTAATAATTAAATGCCAGGCCTCTGAAGAAGATAAGAAATAAATCCCTAAGCTCTGTCACATGAGGGAAGGAATCTGACTGGCAATTATTCTTTACTGACACTAGGAATCCAAGGACCTTAAGATGGTTCAGGAAAATTTAGAATATGATTAACAAAAAGCAGCAGTAGCAACGACTTTCCAGTCAGAAAACAGCCTAGGACTTAAGACAGTGTGTTAATGACCAAGTCATTTAGGATTATTTTAACAGTCTGACTTCCATGTATTTAAATGTGGTTATGTCAAAACAGGATACACGGTACCAGATTTAACTCCCCCCAAAAGGAAAAACCAAAACAGCTTCAGCAGAGCTTCTCAGAACATTTTGCTATCAAAGAATAAGCAATACTTAATTAATTTGTTTCTATATGAACCCGATTTCACAGTCATGTTTTTGTTCCCTCAAATACAGTGCTAGAAGACCATTTTAGAAACATCTTTGCCTGTAATCTAGCACTCAAAAGAAGTCAATTATTCAGAAACCACTTGAACAGTTTCTACATTCTTACATGTTTTATCGGCTTTCTAGCAGGTTTTTTTAAAAGTTTAAGAACAACTTCATTGGTGGTTCCAGAGGAAGTGACATGTACATTCGGGAAGAGCTGAGTCAAGGCTGGCCAAGATTGAACAGGAGTGTTCTAGACAGAGGGAAAGCAACGCAGAAAGAGGCCCCAGAAGTGGACATTCGGATAGAAAGTAACTGTCAGCCCCACGACTCTGTTTAGGGTCCTGGAGACTCACTGAGAACAACTGTCACACGAAGAAAGTTCCGATCACTGCTGAAAATGCCACAAGGACACTTTCTAGAGACTCGACTTCATCTTTCTTCCTGCCAATCTGGTTCACTTCAGTTCATATCTGACAGACTCCTACTGAAAAGAGAAAGGATCTGGATAATTTATGAGGGATGCCTACAGCTGGCCCTTCAGAGCAAGGTCACCCCTCTTCCAGGGCCTCTATCTGTTAGAACACGGACGAGGTTCTGGCAGTCCTGGGAGGTCCTTCATGAAGACTTCCCTTTTCCAGGTAGCTGCAGTGGCAATGGCTGCTGCCTTATCTCAGGTGCTCTCTGCAAGCTCCCTGCCCACGAGGGAGTAGGGCTCTGAGGGCCCTGCCTTCGCCTGGAAGTCAGCTCCAGCCTGTAGAGTAGCACACTCCGGGCTTCTGTTCTCAGTGGGTCACCTTGTACAGGTTCCACGCCAAAGGAAAAATCAATCAAGTATGCTGACAGATGGGCTGAAAACTGGCCTGTCTGCTAACAAGGAAAGCTGGAGCAGCAGGGCACCAACACAGGGCAAAGTGGGTCATGGCTGATGCCAAGTCAGTTTATAAAATCATGGCATTGCCCGAGCTTAAACTTACACCCACTGTTTGGAAACAAAGGCATGGCTCTATGAATATCATCATCCTGACATGCAAAATTAAGACAACTGTGACATTCAGCATGCCAGCACATTGTACAAAGTGCCTGGCTGAAAACAGTCAAGAATACGCCTTTGAGTATCTGATGGGATCTGAAGGGCAGAGATGTAGCTGCAGGCCAGACCACAGCCCTCAGGAGCTTGCCCACCTTCCCTGGGCCCCAGTGGCTGCCTCCAGGCACCACTGCACTGAGGAAGAGCCAGCCTCATGGGCCTCATTCTGCTGGGCTCCCTGGTACCTCCACAGGCATTTCATAGGAGATATAATTTCAAACAGCAATTGTTGTTTATTTTCACATGCACACTCCTTATTCAGACTCATTCTAATTTTTTTACAAATTAAATACCACTCCTCTGGGCAGGCTTGTGTTACAGCAGTTAAGTCCCACTTGGAACCCACACAACTCATTATTAGAGTGCCTGGGGGTTCTGTCTGGGCTCCTCTACTTCTGATCCAGCTTCCTGCTAATGTGCACCAAGGAGGCGGTAGGTGGTAGCTCAAGTAGTTGGGCCCCTGCCACCGATGTGAGAAACCCAGATTGGGTTCAGGCACCTGGCTTTGGCATGGCCCAACCCTGGCTGTTGCAGGCATCTGGTAATGAACAGCAGATAGAAAGAAAATCTTTGTCTCTCTGCCTTTCAAATAAAATGAAAATTAGTTAAAAAAGAAAAAAGAATCTCTGCGGCTGGTGCTGTGGCATTGCAGTAAAGCTGGCACTGCATCCCATATGGGCGCTGGTTTGAGACCCGGCTGTTCCACTTCCAATCCAGCTATCTGCTATGGCCTGGGATAGCAGTAGAAGATGACCAAGTCTTTGGGCCCCTGCACCCATGTGGGAGACCCAGAAGAAGCTCCTGGCTCCTGGCTTCAGATGGGGGCAGCTCTGGCCATTGCAGCCAACTGGGGAGTGAACCAGTGGACGGAAGACCTCAAAGGAAGACCTTTCTCTCTGTCTCTCTCTCTCACTGTCCACTCTGCCTGTCAAAAATAAAAAAAAATAAAAAAATTAAAAAAAAATTAAAAAAAATTTTAAAAAAGAAAATATTTTTCTTTAAGTACTTAAGAAGTGGCCACATTTCATATTTCAAGATCTTTGCGTTAAACATAATTGAAGCATGTTGCATCATGGGGGAGGCACTGTAAGTAGCCCACAGTACAACAGTGGCTGGCTAGAAAGTTCAAGGAATGGGATCTAGCAATGAAATATGGGAAAAAAATTATTTAGGAAAATGTTACAAATCTTAGAGATAAGTATACCCAATAAGACAGAACTCCATTAACATTTCAATTCTATAAAATAATGTAAATGTCCTGCCTCAGATACCTTGTGGAAGTAACCAGATGAATAATAAGTGCATGGAAAGTAGAAATCAGAGTATTCCTGCTCAGAAAGAAAACCACACCTAAGCTGACTTAAGTAGAAGTGTAATTCTCTCCTAGAGACTATTTCCTGGGGATGGAAAGAAATTACTCTTGGAATGAAAGGAAGATAGGGATTATAGTTTATAAGGAAGAAGCAGGAGACGTTTATAATTCTCTTTCAGGTTACCTTGAAACAGAATAGACAGAAAGAAATGATCTTGTGTCTCTTATATGTCTCTGTTAACTAGACTGAGGTGTTTTCCAAAGAAGACAAAAGAGAAAAGTAACAGTGACAAAACATGACACACAAAATACAAAAAATTAAATTTACTCTCTCAATTTTAAGCACAGTAATTGATAAATTCTTATTATCTTTATTTTGGGGTAGGAAAACAGCTTTTTACTATGAAATAATATTTACACAGTACAGTCATTACGTAACATATACTTTTCAGGTTACTCATTGAAAGACACTTTTTCTGTATTCACTAGTCCACTGATCTATATCATTTGCTAACAAGATATTGACTCTAATTTAAAGAAACTGTATATTACCTTTAAGGATTGTCTCTTAGTCACATAATTCTCAGACTGAAGCAATTTCTCATAGTCTTCAAAAATCTAATGAAAAGAAAATAAACATGAGAGAGAGTAGAAAAGCAGCAGATCTAGGCTTTGTGCCCTCCTCTGCAGGGTCCCGGCCTGCCTTGCACCTCTGTGTATTTAACTGGGGCCGATCAGCATTGTCTGCATGGAGCTTTCACTGTTTCATCAGGAAGATACTGTGGATGGAGAAGTCAAGTGACACAAGAGCCTCTCTTCTCTATTTTATACTAGCTCTACGAATCAGAAGTTGAATTGAAAAATGGAATCATTTTGAGTCCTCTCAATAAATTGAGTACAAACCTAAATTAAAAGTAGTCAGATGTACTTTTTCCCTTAATTTCTACTCTCTGAATTTTTTGTGTATTATCCTTGAATGTGAAGTGTTTTTGCACACCATACTTACCTCCCTCACTCTAAGGTAAAGTTAAGGGGCTGTTGCAACAGACTTTGTCATAGGCTGGTTTAGTCTTCTATTTGCATTTATTATTATTGTTTTTTAAAGATTTATTTATTTATTTGGAAGGCAGAGTTCCAGAGAGGCAGAGGCAGAGAGAGAAGTCTTCCAACCACTGGTTCACTCCCCAGATAGCCGCAACATCTGGAGCTGTGCTGATCCGAAGCCAGGAGCCAGGAGCTTCCTCTGGGTCTCCCATATGGGTGCAGGGGCTCAAGGACTTGGGCCATATTCTACTGCTTTCCCAGGCGATAGCAGAGAGCTGGATCAGAGAGGAGCAGCCAGGACCTGAACTGGCACCCATATGGGATGTTGGCACTGCAGGCAGAAGCTTTACCCACAGGCCACAGCACTGGCTCCTGCATTTATTATAATTTCTTATGAATCTTTCCTTAACTTCTATCTAGCACATATAGTTACTGAATAGCAAAACTATATATAGTAACAGTTCATTACCTACATTAAAAAATAAGTCATTTTCCTTTAGTCTTGAAGCTTTTGGATGCCTCTGGAAAGAACAATTATCTTCCCTTTACGTTTTATACTTGCCTCCAAGTACTCCAATTGATTCCATGGATTTTGATTGAGAATTTTAGGATATGAATATTACTTTAGATTTCATGATTACATAATTCTTAATTTTCAATCAAAGGAAGATCAGGAAGCAATCTATGAATAAGTGGTACACAATTCTGTGATTTAGAAGTGTGAAGATCTATTACTGATAGGTAGGGGATTCCACATCTTTCCAGAGTCTAGGAAATTGAATCAGGTGATTTAGTATGGGTTGGTCACAGGCCTATGATGTACCTAACACTCTACTAAGGCTGTATACTGTTGGGAGGGTGTAAATTCATCAGTAGAAAGTACTTTTCTCTTGGTTGTTACATAATTTTCTACCAAAGATTCCAACCAATAGATACTTTCCTTAATTTACTCATTACTACCATAAATGCTATATATAAGGAGTCTTCAAAATTTTTAATAGAAAATATGTATTATCAAAAAACAGCAGGCCGGCGCCGCGGCTCACTAGGCTAATCCTCCGCCTTGCGGCGCCAGCACACCAGGTTCTAGTCCTGGTCGGGGCGCCGGATTCTGTCCTGGTTGCCCCTCTTCCAGGCCAGCTCTCTGCTGTGGCTAGGGAGTGCAGTGGAGGATGGCCCAAGTGCTTGGGCCTTGCACCCGCATGGGAGACCAGGAGAAGTACCTGGCTCCTGCCATCGGATCAGCGCGGCACGCCGGCCGCAGCGCGCCGGCCGCGGCGGCCATTGGAGGGTGAACCAACGGCAAAGGAAGACCTTTCTCTCTGTCTCTCTCTCTCACTGTCCACTCTGCCTGTCAAAAAAAAGAAAAGAAAAGAAAAGAAAAGAAAAGAAAAGAAAAGGAAAGAAAAAACAGCATGAATTTCAAAAATTTTTGCATTCCATTTTCCCCACACATGTGAAATTGTCTGTTGCTTTTATGAATGACGACCGAAAGAATCCACTAACCGCACACATATAAACATTTAAAACTTGCTGGCTTGGGATGTATTATGAATGGCTCAGTGCTCCTTTCAGAGAGCAGATGGCTTTGCTGCTGACACATGCCAGGCACTATGCTGGGCGACGGGGACAGAGTAGTGGCGTTAACGGACATGTGTAAAATGCCTAAAATCCCAGGAAAAACTAACTGTGGATGCTGTTGCTATCACCACTGGGATGATGATAACGCTGATGGTGACCAGTTCCCCCTTGTCAGAGTCACAGTCTAGACCTGTGCTCTCCACTACAGGACTTTAGGTGGTTACAGAACATGTGAAACGTGGCTACTTCAAGTTGGGATGTGCTGTAAGTATAAAATAAACACCAGAGTTTGAAGACTCAGCACAAAAAGCAATGTAAAAGAACTCAGTCATTTTGATTATACATTAAAATAATATTTTTAGACTAAATAGGAGTATATTACTAAAATTAATTTCACCCATTTCTTTTTATATTTTTAGTGGCTCATATGAGTTAGATAGTGGCTCATACATGTAACTTGCATTGTATCTTGACTGGACAGTGCTGGGCTAGGGTATCTGAACCAACAGGAACAGGTCTGTGCGGTTTTGCTTGTAGATTTGTGCTGTGTTCTATTTCTGTCATGCTGCTTCCATTGTCATACATTTAGCAAAAGTATAGCTGCTCTTGGATGGTTCTGTTGATTCGATATTCATTGACTACACCAAATGCATTGGCATCAAGTTAGGCATTAGGAGTATCTACAATAATGACATGGTACTACAATAAAACTTTACATCTTGTCAAATTCCCACCACAAACCTATAAGGTAGGTATTGCAGATTGAGTGTTCTTAATCTGAAAATCTGAAATCTGAATTACTCCAAAATCTGAAACTTTCTGTGTGCTGACATTATGTCAAGAGTGGAAAATTCCACACTTGATTGCATGTGATGAGTTGCAACCAAAACATAGGTGCACTGAAAATACTGTATGAAGTTATCTTCAGGACACCTGTATAAGAGGTATATATGAATTTTGTCTTTAGACTTGAGTCCCATCCCCAAGATATCTCAATGTGTATATAAAAATATTCCAAAAGCCTAAAACATCTCAAACCCAAAAGCACTTCTGTCTGAAGCATTTCAGGTAAGGGATACTCAATATATATTATTATCTTCATCTTATAATAGGTGCAGTAACTTGCCTAGGGTCACACAATTAATAAGGAGGCAGAACCAAGTCTTGAAGCAAAGCAAGCAAGCAGACTCTAAATTCTGTACTGTATAACTCTTGTGTTGCAGAGATAAGGTTCGTGCCTCTTAGAGCACAAGAGCCAGCCAGAAAAACACAGACACACCATGATAATACAACAAGTAAAGTGAAACAGAGAGACAGAATGAATATGTGTTGTTTAGGAAGAGGTGGGATTAGGGAAAGCCTTCTTAGAAGAGTAATATTTTGGGGGCCAGCATAGCAGGTAAAGCTGCCGCCTGCAGTACCAGCATCCAATATGAGCACCAGTTTGAGTCCTGGCTGCTGCTCTTCTGATCCAGCTCTCTGCTATGGCCTGGGAAAGCAGAGAAGATGGCCCAAGTCCTTGGGCCCCTGCACCCTCATGGAAGACCTGAAAGAACCTCCTGGCTCCTGGCTTCAGATTGGCACAGCTCTTGCCATTGCGGTCAACTGGGGAGTGAACCAGCAGATGAAAGACCTCTCTTTCTCTCTGCCTCTGCGGTTTTGTAACTCTGCCTTCCAAATAAATAAATAAATCTTAAAAAAAAAAAAAAAAAGAAGAGTGATATTTCCTCTGCACCTCAAAAAAATGAGTTGGATTTACTGTTAGCAAAAGGAGCTGGAAGATGGAAATATTTCTGGTATTTCTATTAGTAAGTAAAATGAACTGTGTACCAAGTGAAGAGCTTTGTTTTAGTGAGGGAGAGGTGTTCTTCCATTCCGGGTTACCTATACCTCATAAGGGCAATGTGGGTGCTCTTAATTCAAGATCAAAGGAAGCAGACATTAACTCTTTCTTAGAGCTCCAGAACACAACAGGAAGAGATGTGCAAACAAAAAAACCTGGGACTCTTGTCATCCTCTATATTCCATAAAATTTTCTGATTATCTAGATCCAGGTTAATACATAAACCAGGGATATGGGTGATTTCACTGTGGATGATACACAGGGGTGATTTTTATAGTTCCTAGTTGTAGGAGAGAAAAAGAAAGATGTGGTCTTAAAAATGATTTCTACTTACTGTGTCATAATTTTGTTCTAAGAAGTCTGCTACCAATACTTTATGTCTGGTTAGTAAATCCTAGGAAGAGAACAACCAAATGAAACAAAATTATTACACCTAATAAGTTAAAACAATTTATTTTTTGCTAAGGTTTCAATAAATCTTTATAAATATTGCTAAGATGTTATAAATCACTTGAAGCACATTAAAGTTGCAAAAGAACATTTTCATTTATCTGCAAAATTATTTCCTTTTCTACCTTAGTTTATGATGATGGTTCATAGTTTAAAAATCAAAGATACCTAGTGCTAAAGCTAGTGCTTTAAATTCATATCACTGTCAGATTTACAACAGAAATAATTTCAATGGTGAAACAAATGGCACCAGAGACTTCTTTGTAGCACATTTCTTCAAGCCATTATCTCTACATTGTGATGATCACGATGTAATAACCAATTCAAATAAAGTTTTTATAATGATCTTTTTCAAATATCATTTATGACTAATCAGCTTTTACATGCATTCTTAATTTATTACTATTATTTTTAGGTTTTATTTACTTATTTATAAGAGGCAGAGAAGAAAGAAAGACACAGAAAGAACCTTCTCCTGGTTCACTCCCCAAATGCCCAGGGCTCAAGGCCAAAGCCAGGAGCCATTCACTTGATCCAGGTCTTACACCTGAGTGGCAGGAATTTGAACACTCCAGCCATCACCACTGTTTCCCAGGGTATGCATTAGCAGGAAGCTGGAATCAGCAGCCAGAGTTGGGAATTAAAGCAAGTATGTTAACCACTAGGGTTTTTTTCCCACAAGGCCAAGGGCCAGAGGCCAATCCCCTAATCATTAAAAACAAACAAATAGGGCCGGCACCGAGGCTCACTAGGCTAATCCTCCGCCTCCAGTGCTGGCACTCCGGGTTCTAGTCCCAGTTGCAGTGCCGGTTCTGTCCCAGTTGCTCCTCTTCCAATCCAGCTCTCTGCTGTGGCCTGGGAAGGCAGTGGAGGATGGCCCAAGTCCTTGGGCCCTACACCCGCATGGGAGACCAGGAGGAAGCACCTGGCTCCTGGCTTCGGATCCATGCAGTGTGCCAGCCGCGGCGGCCATTGAGGGGTGAACCAACGGAAAAAGGAAGACCTTCCTCTCTCTCTCTCTCACTAACTCTGCCTGTCAATAAATAAATAAAAACTGAATGGCCTAAAACCACATGAATCTTACAGATTTTCAAGGATTTTAACCTTTTTTTTTTTTTTTCTTAGCCTCTGTTAAACAGAGGAGCCCGGGACACTGGGAAGCTGAGGAACCATGGTCACCAGGGTCATGTCAGCAGTGGGCTGTGGGCACTGTGCCTGTTTCTCAGCACCATGCTTCCTTTCAAAGTTGAAGACAGGAGCCACTTCTTACCATAGCTACAAACTTGCAAAAAACACTACAGAAACATGAAGGGACATTTGACTGTCTTCAACTACACCTAAATCACATCCTGATTTCCCCTTAAATGTGGAGAGAAAACAAGCCTTACCTAATCCCTTTTATAAGCTTAGAAGCTAAATGCCCTGCCCAGAGGCCGTGCAGAATTTAATTAAAACCATAACAAGGGTTTTAAAGTTTTCCAAAAATAAATCCTTATACTTTAATACATATTTAATTAAAACTTTAAAAGCATATGGAAGATACACAACCTAACCTCACCAAGAGAAGGCAGGAGCAGCAACGGCAAAACCTTCTTAATTATATTTTCATAAATAGAAAAATATTTGAAGCATTGTGCATTATAATGTTCAAGTTCAAAAACAATGAAACCAGCTCTTAATTCTCTATTGGTTTTCTTCTCTCAACTTGACTAACCACCAGCGGAAACTCCAGCGGGAAGAGCACTCAGTAGTATTCAGGGGCTGGAGTCCTAGCTTGGGAAAAACCCTCTCTGGGGGCTCCATTCCTGGCCCGTCTGGGGTCTGATTTGCACCAGGTTCTGCCCTCAGGGGGTCCCTAGTAGAGTAAAGGGGCTTCACAGCATCTTTGGGGCCCCTAAGGGGATATTTCAGGTGCTTGCTTTTCTGGCATCTCCATGTCCCTAGTCTTGTAGGGATTTTCTGAGCTGACTCAGGGTGGAAGGGGTTCTCGTTGGGGTTGCAGCACACACTGATTGCTGCCCCCATGGCAGTCCTCCGCCTGTCACAACGATCGTCACCCAGCGTGTGCAGCAAGGGCAACAGCAGAGCACACACATATGGCTGCTGCCTGGGAAGGTCTGTGTTACATTCATGTTATCTCAAAGCATGAGGAATAGGGAGGGAACTCTGCTGCAACCAGAGCCCTCAAATTCCAAAGGGGGAAAACTGAAACGTTTTGAATTCCAATAACAGGAAAATATCACAGAGGAGGATTTCTCTAGCATACGCATGATAGACAGAGCCCATAGATGAGGCTGACCTGCACACACATTTACATCTGAGTGTGAATATAAGATATAAACATAGATACAGCCTCAAATTTCTATTACAATAAACGACAGGTACAAAGCTAGAGGAAGAATATCACATACACATGCTCACATACTAAACAAATATAATGGCCACATTACTGGGGACTGGCATTGTGATGCAGTGGGTTAAGCCACTGCTTGCACTGCCAGCATCCCATATCAGAGTGGTGGTTTGTATCCCTGTGGCTGCTTCCGATCCAGCTCCCTGCTGCCTGGGAAGACAGCAGAAGATGGCCCAAGTTCTTGGGCCCCAGCTACCCATATGAGAGACCTGGATGGAGTTCTTGGCTCCTGGATTTGTGTGGGCCAGCTCTTGCTGTCCCACATTTGGAGAGTGAACCAGTGGATAGAAGATCTCTCTTTACTTCCCTCTTTTTCCTTTCAAAAAGGTAAGAGAGAAAGGGAGGGAGGGAGGGAGGGAGAGAGAGAGAGAGAGAGAGAGAGACTTCCATCTACTGGTTTACTCCCCAGATGGCCGCAACAGCCAGAGCTGAGCCAATCCAAAGCCAGGAGCCAGGAACTTCTTCCCGGTCTCCCATGCAGGTACAGGGGCCCAAGGACCTGGGGCATCTTCTACTGCTTTCCCAGGCCATAGCAGAGAGCTGGATCAGAACTGGAGCAGCCAGGACTTGAACTGCCATCCACACAGGATGCCGGCAGCTTTACCCACTACACCACAGTGCAGGCCCCAAATGAATAGTCTTAAAAAAAAAAAAAAAACTACAATGCCTACATTATTACAGATCATAGTGGGAGAAAAAAATCCCAACAAACTAGCTAGGATCCTAGCCAAGAAGGAAAGAGCAGAAAACTGCAAAGAGAAAATGGCTAAGTTTTTAAGAACTTAAGTTTTCAAGTATTTGAAATAGTATAGTCTTTCATCCCACTTAATCTGATTTGTCAGGGCTAAGTTTTGCATGGTCTAAGTATTATCCTAAAAATAAATCTGATGTTGATGTTTTTAGTGGATTCTGCTTGTGACAAATTCAGGGAGGAATGATAGTGACATTCAACTGCAGGGACATGAAACTGCTGACACAGAGGCAACTGTAACTTACTGAGGCCCCAACACGTGCCAGGGAGTGTGCTGAGCCCTTTACAAAGGTTATTTCTCTTTATATTTGCTTATCTGCTTATTTACTTTTTTGAATGGCAGAGAGACAGAGATAGGGAGGGATCTTCCATCTGTTGCTTCACTTTTCAAATGCCCGCAACAGCCAGGGTTGGCCCAGGCTGAAACTAGGAGCCAGGAACTTGATCTGGGTCTCCCAGAAAGGTGACAGAGATCCAAGTACTTGAGCCATCACCTGGTGCTTCCTGGGCTGCACATTAGCAGGAAGCTGGAATCAGAATCTGAGAAAGGACTTGAACCCATGCACTCTGAAATAGGATGCAGGTGCCCCAAGCTGTGTTTTAACCTGCACCAAATGTCTACTGCTACAAATGTTATTTCTATTTTTCACAATAACTCAGAAAATCAGGGATCATTTTCCTCATTTCACAGATGAGGAAAATGAAACTCAAGGGTTAACTCACTCAAGAGCATATAGCTGATTAAGTGGGAAAGAGAAAGATGTAATTCAAGTCATTTCTCTTACACAGAATTTTAGAGGGAAGGCTAAAAAAAGACTATGGTTATAAGGAATCTCTGTTGGGAAAGGACTATTTGTGGATGACACCATATGCAAATCATAAACTGACAATGTTAAAATAAGTGTGAGAGGTTAAAAAAAAAAAGCCAAAATAAAACCAAACCAACCTGCCAAATAAACAACATCCTTTGAAACTAGCTACCTAAAGAAAAAGCAATAATGCACCTTGTTGGTCACTGTTATAAGTATTTTTGTAACATAAAGAAAATTGGGGGTGAGCATCTGGCACAGCCACTAAGGTGCCATTTGGCAGCCAGCATTGTGGTATAGTGGGTAAAGCCACTGCTTGCAATGACAGCAAGATTTATTTATAAGATTTATTTATTTATTTGAAAGAGTAACACAGAGAGAGAATGAGAGGCAGAGAAGAGAGAGAGGTCTTCCACTGCTGGTTCACTCCCAAATTGGCAGGAATGGCCAGAGATGCACCGATTTGAAGCCAGGAGCCAAGAACTTCTTCCAGGTCTCCCACTTCTGTGCAGGGGCCCAAGGACTTGGGCCATCTACACCTTTCCCAGGCCATAGCAAAGAGCTGGATCAGAAGAGGAGCAGCCAGGACTTGAACCGGCACCCATATGGGATGTCGGCACTGCAAGGAAGTGGCTTTACTCACTACGTCACGGCGCCAGCCCCATGCTGCTCCACTTTTGATCCAGCTAATGTGCCTGGGAAAATCAGCAGAAGATGGCCCAAGTGCTTGGACCCCTGCTACCCACTTGGGAGGCCTAGATGAAGCTCCTGGCTCCTGGCTTTGACCTGGCCAGCCCTGGTCGTGGTGGCCACTTGGAAAGTGAATAAGTAGATGGAAGACTTCTCTCTCTCTCTCTTTCTCTTTGTTAACTCTGACTTTCAAATAAATAAGTATTTAAAGAAGAAAAGATGCCACTTGGGATGCTGTATCCCCTTGTGAGAGTGCCTGGGTTTCAGTCCCAGTTCTACTG